TATTAAAATTGATTGCATTTTTCTATGTTAAACATAATCTAATAAAAACATGTTTTACTACTGAGAGTGATACTAGAATTTCACACAAATATTTAAATTATTTATTACTTATTAATTCTGATTTGATTACTAAACATACAATCAGTTACTAACTCAATGATAAAACAAAGTTTACGATCTGAAATATCTGAAGTATTTATAGCAAAGTATAGTTAAGCAAGGTTATTAGAAAAGAGACAATTTATGTAAACAATTTTATACGTTATGATTCATAAGTTATGAATGATGGAGTATATGATATTAAATTATTCAAGACACTTGTTTTTTGATTATTCAAAGTACTACATAAATCATAAGTTTAACTAGACAATTAAAAATTACTGAAATATTTAATGTATGAAATGAAATGCATTTTTCTATTTAATGTCTATTTTTGTAAGCAATGAGTTAAGTCAATACAATTATAATTCAGTCATTAATAATACTAATATTAAATATGATCCAAAAATATGAGCCGTTATATGAATAATCATAAACAGTGTTAAATTGAATGCAATTATATAACAGTAATGAGAAAATACTGAAGACTAAAATCAATGCAAAATATAAATTGACGCAAACTTTAGACTCAAATTGAGTCATTCAATATTCACACTCAATCTCTCTCTCTCTCTCTCTCTCTCTCCCTCCCTCTCTCTCTCTCCCATATGTTTAAAAAATAAACTGAAAGTAAATGAATATGTTTTGGTGATTGGATAGCATAGCCATTGCATTACATTTATCTGATTGTCTGCTCAACTATTAGTGTAACGGAAGTGCGAGAAATACTGCAAATACTTGGCTTTCAGTGTACGATAGACTCGCAGTCATAGACAGACAGTGAGTACAGTGACTACAGTGCGAGTGAAACACGTTTCCCACAAACGCTTCACTCGAGTCACCAACTGATCGCCACTTGTGTCCACCCGTAGACCTCCTGAGCCCACAGACAGTGCCAGACACCAGCCATGGGTGGATGCGACACGTTTTGCGCGATGGTGTGCGCCTGTCTGTGCCCACCACTGGTCGTTATGATCAGTAGGGGCTGTGGATGTGATCTCGTGATGAACGTATTGCTCACTTTGTTGGGATGGTTCCCGGGGTGTATCCACGCGTGCTGTCTGGCGGGGGATGACCGCCGGGATGGCCACCAACTGTCACCAGTGGTCCACACGTCCGTCAACGTACAGATGCCTCCGCAGCACATGTATGCGCCGCCACAACAGCCCTATCCGATGGCACCGCCAATGATGGCATCGCCGGCCCCACCACCCTATGGGCACCAATACCCCGGTGGCGACCCCTCGGCGCCCGGCTATCCCGACTACAAGAGCTAAGCCGTGAGACTATTAGTCGGAAAAAGTAGTTAAATGTATAATCAATTCAATTATCATTACTTTCTTTATATGAATAATCATTTTTTGCTTACATTTGTCGTGAATATAACCATTTAATTGATTGTATTTTGTGTTAAAAATATGGACAAAATAGTCACTAATTTTTTGATAACATTTAAATTGAGTCCAAATATAATATCCATTGTATTCTCGTTTCAACATTAATACTGTATTTCATTTTTGTGTGTATTTTATAGTCAAAGTTTTATTAAATAAAAATCTTGTTTTATTGTATCCAAAATTTATCTGAACTTATTTTTTCAATATTTTTTATTTCATTTTAAAAACCTAATCCCAAAATTAAATATTTATTTTATTTGATGTTTAAGCATATTTTTCGTGATTAAGTATTTTCTAAATACATATAATTTAAGTGTTAAATAAATGCATACGAAAAATAAAGCTTTTATTAATGACCCAAATGAGCATTATATGCATTATTAATATTAATTTGTGGTTAAATATTTAAATACAATATCAATAGTTGAGTGAATCTTTGGATATTTTGGCAAAAATTGTTTTGTCCTAAAAAATAACGATCTCTCTCTCTCTCTCTCTCTCTCTCTCCACTTCTCTCTCAAACTTCTATTTCTTTTTTAAAATAAAATTTAATAAATTCAAACATATACTAAATAAATAAATTTAATTCAAATCATAATCATTAGCAAATACTTTAATTATTAATCGGTTTTTCCTTTTATCGCTTACTCTCTAAACATTTAATAGGTTTTAAACAAATTTTTTTTATATTCAATATACTGTAGTATAATTAAAATAAACAATAATTTATTAAGAAAATATCGTTAACAATGACTTGAACATACTGCATAGAAAACACATTAATATTTATTATATTTGATCCGAAAGCCATAAAAATAATAAAAATTTCCTTAACTCTCGCTTTCACTCGTTTTCCCATCCCTTTCCTTAGAAAAAGTTTGCGCAAAAAGATTTCTCATTTCTTTCCAACGCGAGTGTAATTGCTATGTATGTTGTGTTAGCCCAACATATGATGGCCTGGGATGTGATTTCAAGTAAAACCCGTAAAAGTATATCATCTCAAGGATAAACATTAAG